TCCCATCCCTGCTGAGCTGGTTCCTGCCTGTGAAGGGTTGCATGAGCTGACCTCAGAAAGTCCCTTCCTTCCTTCAATTCTCAGATTCGGCACATTCTGCCAGAGCTGAGGGCAAGTGGCCGCATAATGTCACAGTTCCCCAGAGACTGGCCACAAGAAAAGGAGGAGACCCTGACCCAAGCAGACAGCCCCTCCCCCTCCAGTGGAAAGCCCCCAGGGAGGTGACAGAGGGCTTTTCTGAGGGCATGCTACTCACACCAGGGGTATCAACCTGAAAGAATGGAACAAAAATGACTTTCATTAGAGCACGTCTAGAACAGCCCCCTACGTCTCATCTGAAGCCCCCCTCCGTGTGGCTTCCACATCATCCTCTCCAGGTCTTCACTGTCCCTCCTCAGGCAGGCTCAGCCAGTCCCCTGCCCTTCCCTGGACTCCTTCCTACATTATAGGTCATCTTGGGAGTTATCTACGGACTCAAGGGCAGAGGTCAGGCCAGTCACTGGCTGCTGGGCCCAGGCTCAGACAAACCAGACCCTTGGTCAGCACCCGCTAAACACACCAATTAGAAGATCCCCAGAAGGCTACGCACCATTGCTGGCCTCAAAGAATGGACACTCAAGGGGACAACCTTCATCAGTACTAACAGATGAATCCCATCCAATGAAAGCACAGGTTGAGACAGGCTGACTCAGGGAACTGCAACTGACAGCAGGGTTTCCCAGCCTCGGCACAACGGACATTTGGGGACAATGATTGGGGGGGGGGGTTGGGAGCCTGTCCTGTGCACACAGGATGTTGAGCACAACCCAGGCCCCCACCCGCTACATGCCATTAACACCGCCCCCACCACAACCTGCCTGTGAGTTGTGACAACCCAAACCATCTCCAGACACTGCCAAATATCCCCAGAGGGGCAGAATCACCCCTAGTGGAAGACGGCTGATTTGGAGGGAGGGAGCGTTGGATTTGTCCCTCAGAACTCTGAGCTGTAAAGTTCAGGTTATTTGACTCACCAGCAGTGACATAGCAACCAAGCTCAATTTGAACCCAAATGTTTCTTCAAAGCCCAGTTTCTTCCCAGCCAATGTTTGTAATTTTAGTTGTTTTTGTTTGGAATAGCATTGTCACCTTGTTCTTCAGGCTGGCCGTCCTGGAATAGTCACCATTTTAATGTCATCTTGTAGAGACAAGTTCGATGCACCTGAAGTGTCCCAAGACTTCTGCCCAGGAGGGTCTACAGCAGGGCCAGCGTAGAGCACAAAGGCTAGGCAACTGTCTGGGGTCACACAGGGGTCCCTCACCCTGAAGAGTCAAGAGCGGCTACTTCTGGTCAGTAGGCAAGGCTTCATGACCTCACATCCCCTCCAAAGAGTGAGGTGGACACATCTCCCTGCAGTGCCCCTGGCCCACTGGCTTCGTCCCTGTCTTGGTGTGGAACCAGGAGAACGGATTCTTTATTATTATGACTCCTCTGTACCTGTGGCTCCCACCTATGCACCTCCAGCCTCAGCCAAAGCCCCCGCCCGCCACAGAGGGCTGTGACTGGAAGCTCCTGGCAAGCAGGGCACATGGAACCCCACGGCCCCAGCACCTAGCACTGGGCTGACACAACACATGACCACTAAATGCATGAAAGAAAAAAACAGCAGCCAAACAAAGAGGAAGCCCCGTGCTCGGGAACCCTTTATTGGAATAAATAACAGCACGCTGTGACACACCATGCCCCTGACACACGTCTCTGCCTGGAAGCGATCTGATTGTGCTGCTGTGAGCTCACGAAAAACAACAGCTTCCTGCTGCTGCCGATCAGGCGGGCCTGACCCACAGCATGGCCAGGGTTTTAGTGGCTTTTATTTAATATCCAGAAATCCAAGTCAACATTGTTTAAAACAATTAAAAAGACAATAAAATACTGGCACACAAAGCAGGGGGGTGGGGGGAAGGATTCAGTTTCTTTAAAATAAAATTGCTGTTTGTCGCATCTAATTAGGACATCAGGGCCGGGCCCTGGGCTCAGCGCCTACACAGCACCCTGCAGTGGTCGAAAGGGAACCACAGCTGCACGCAGGCTCCCAGGGCCAGGGGCGGGCTCGAAGGCCGGGCACACTGCGGAGGGTGAAAGGTGAGTATTTCACAGCCCCTGCCCAGCGTCCACTCGGGCCTGTAAGGCCTGAGACTTCCCTGTGCCCCCATGGATGGACAGAAATGATCTTGCTGTCACTTAGCTCTTATGCACCAGGGTCCCTCTTCGGAGGAAAACAAGTCACTGGAAAGGTGGAGTCACAAGAGGAGGAAGGGTTCCAGAAATTTCCTGAACTGAGAACTGAAACATTTGCATGACAAAAAGCCCCCACTAAGCGTCAAAGGCAAGTGGTTTCTGATGCCCAAGCCCAGAGGAACAATGCAAGGAGGGGAGCGAAGCCACAGCAGAGGTGACCCCGAATCCCGCCTGGGAGCTGGCCAGTGCCACCCAGGCCACGCTGTGGGTTCTGACGGCAACTGGACGGTGAAGGGAGAAGGGGCTGAGGGCGCCCTTCACAGGTGTGCTGCAGGTGCACCTCCCCCTGCAAACTGACTGGAAAAGAAGGAACTGGGATAAAAGATGACATTTTTTGCTGGAATCACGGCCTTAACTGGTCACTGTTGTGAAGCAAAAGTGCCCGTTCATGGTTTCCCCACATACCTTCTTACCCCCCATACTGTCCTGCTTAAAAGACAGAAGACAGTGAAGTGGGCATGGGCTTGCCAGGTGGAGGCCCCCGGGACTGCCCCGGGAAGCCGAAGCCCCTCCTAGAGAAACCATCTCCTCCCCTGAAAGACAGAAGACAGTGAAGTGGGCATGGGCTTGCCAGGCGGAGGCCCCCGGGACTGCCCCGGGAAGCCGAAGCCCCTCCTAGAGAAACCATCTCCTCCCCTTCGGTGGCATGGATTGGGCCGGAGCTGCCCACTTGGGCTGAAAATCCACAGCTGTGTTCTTTCCAGGTCCTGATCTCGCCTCCTCCATCTCCCTCCGTCCCCCTCGGCCCGCACGGAGGAGCATCGCCCTCGCCAAGCCCACCTGAGCACGAGTCAGGGTGGATCCGACTGCACCGGCTCCAGGTGGCTGTGATCCTGTGCGTGTAATGAAAGCGGCACAGAACGTTCCAGCCCCGGGTATTTTGTCAATGTGGCTCTTTAATGTCACTGCATCCCGCAGGAGATGCTGTAATGCCGTTTTAATTATTTCTTTCCCCTGCTGGGAAACCACTTCCATCAAAACGGCTATTCTGAACCCATCCCCAGCCTAGCAACAGCCGGAACCGAGGGAGAATATTAAACTGTTTCCTAAAACTTTAGTGTTGGCTTTCAATTTAGCATGAACGATGTACTCAGCAGCTCTGATCTACAGCAGGAGGCGGAAGTCTAAGAGATCAGATGCAAGTGCTGCGAGAACTCCAGGAAGGAGGTCGCTTTGCAGGAGGTGCCCTGGGGGTTAGCAGGTCGAAGCCTGAGCAGGAACTGGGGAAGGAGACAGGGGGGAGATGCCAGAGTGCAGGACCCACTGAGACCAGCAGCCAGCCCAGAAAATGTAGCCGATGGGATCCCCATTTCTTTCCAGAGCCAAGGGGGGCTAGGGGTGAACAGCCCATAAATGAGTGGTCAGCATTTCATTTTACAAGATGCCCCGAAGAGAGACTGCATCAGGCTCTGGAAAGAGCGAGATGAACACTTCATATCCCCCATTATGGGCTCACCTGTGTTCCCAAATCCACATGCTGAAGCCCTAACTCCCAGTACCTCAGCGTGTGCCTGTGCTTGGAGATAGGGCCTTTAAAGAGGTAATTAAGGTAAATGAGGTCACATGGGTGGGCCCTAATCCAATATGACTGACGTCCTTATAAGAAGAGGACATTAAGACACAGGCACAGAGGAAAGACCAGGCGAGGACACAGGGAGAAGACGGCACATGCAAGCCAGTGAGAGAGGCCTCAGGAGAAACCAGCCCTGCGACACCCTGACCTCGGACTTGCAGGCTCCAGGACCGCGAGGAGGTAAGGTCTGGGGCACGAGCAGACTAGCGCACCTCACCCCTTCATCGTTTCTGAAAATGCACCCATTTCCAAACAGGGCCTCTGAGACGGGAAGGTTCTGGCCTGAGCTGTCACGAGCAGCACATGTGCAGCCAACTCTGGTCCCAGCCACAGCAAGAAGCAGAGCAGGGCCCCGGCAGAGCGTTCCTCCTGCGGACCACGGCGGCATCACCCTGGCTCTCAGATGTTCGCGCAAAAGCAAAACTAAAACACCGGTGAATGGCCAAGAAGTCACTGGATCGTGGGCTGGACACTCCCATCACGTCTAAAGCTTCTGGGACTTTAGAGCGAAGTTTTTAAAACTGCAGGACCCTTTTACCAAAAAGGCCTCACTTTCAAGGAGAGCCCAGCCC